GTAACGTAGTCTGAACGAACCTTATTAAATACACCGAATATCTGGAATTTTCTAAATTTTCAAACCAAATCAATTTATCCAAAATTTCTCCTACTGACTTTGAGCTTACATCTTATTTTTATAATGACTTTGCGACTTATCACAATTCCACCAATGTCAAGTGGTAGTTTGAGATTTAACTTGCATGCAGACAACATTTGACACTTTCAATAAGTTGATGTGTTGCCGACAGTACAACCTGCTCCATGTAATAACCGTACTCTATAATGTCGCCGTATAAGTAAACAAAAACGTTATTTATATTCCATTTCCAGAGATAATAGTCGATAGATTGTGAACTGTAACCAAAGCTGATTTTACCTTAAATATTATTATCTTAAAATATTGTATAGTCAACAATATCCAAAACCCAAATTTCTATAACTGTTAATTTGTTTTGTTGTGTTTGTCATAAGATTAACAGGCGATTGTTGCAACTTGATCTGTACTATTTTTATAAAGACTTATTTATTTTATATAGAAATCTAAATAAAGAATAGGTCTCGTTCAGACGAAACCCACTTTTGGATGCAAACGCGTCTGTCGCATCTAACATGCTTTGAAATTTAATGCATAGAATTTAAGACTTAAGATAAATCAGTTCATTTATCGCGCGGGTGTGCGAATGCGAAACTTGTACGGTTGGACTTGGATAAACGGAATTCCAGATTTTTTGATTAATCATAAGACACAAATTGTATGCAACAAATTTTAAAGCGGGTTGTGGTCAATTCATACTAGTCAATCGTCAATCAGAAATGTAACATCAAATTCAGCCTGATCTCTGCAACGTAATGCGCATATTCCTTCTATGCGATAATAGGAGGACGCACGAATTCGCGAATAAAGGTGAATTTGCTGTTTCTGGTTGACGCCTCGATGCGCTTCGCCTCTACGCTAGTGTGAACATTGACCGTTAGACGCGCGTGCACGTGTCGTCTAAACAGGGCCTAAACATGTTGTAAATAACTAGAAAAAACTATGCAGACTATAAAAAAGAAATGTCCCATTTTAACCGACTTCAAAAAAGAGGTGATTCCCTATTCATAATGTATACTTGAAAAGTCACTATGCTGATGATGAAAAAAAATTGTCCCATTTTTAACAGACTTTAAAGAAGAGGTTTTCAATTAATAATAAGTTTCCTACTTAAGCTAGGTTCTACTTTAAAATGATTCAACGATTTTTACAAAAGTGGGTATGTATGTATTATTAGATCTGCAGCCTCTTGTTCATGGCTGTTTTTTAACGACCCGGTGCGATATGCTTGTTTTTATCTAAGCATAAACGCCCATATTGCATTGGTTCCGTGTACAGTAAAACAACGGCCAATAAGACAATATATAAATGTTGGAAAACCAAAGGAAAAGATCTTCCTCCGAGCTGGGTGATGTTAGCTCGGGGGCCGCGGCCCGACTGATGTTGGTCAGGCATTGTATATATGAAGTTTAGTCTCCGAATTTTACTTGCGCGATTAAGGCTTCCATAAGTATTGATCGCAACGCCGGTAGCGCCATCTCTTGTGGAGGCGCGTGACTATTGCCTCCATTTTGATTGCCGCCACATGAACACTATAAACATAGATAATGGACTGCGGTTACCGTCACCTGAAGTAAAACTGGTCCAAAGCGAGACGAAGCGATAAGGTGACCCATTTATGTCTCTTTCTACAAAGTTGTCCATTTCATACGAGAGTCGCCCAGTCTATTCTCTATCTACCTTTGCCATCAAAACTGAACATTCATTTTAGATCTGTCAGGGTATTTGACACTCGCGATTAACGGCAACCGCGCAACGAACGAGAAAAGCGTACTGCAAAGTAGTTCGATTCAAACTAACGTTGGTTCTGAAAGTTGGCAGTGAGCGCAATTACGATAGATGGGTCAGATAATATGACCCAACTATCGTATTACATAGAGAATGGACTGTTCCCAACCCTTATGTAAGTAGAACTGGGAAGGTAATTGTGAGGAAGAAAGTTCGTATAGGTAATGACAGCACCAGTACTTTATCTCTTTTTTTACAGTGTTGTCAATTTCCTGCCAGCTCAGTCCATTCTGTCTATGGCGCAGCGCACACCGAAAGAGGCACGGAGGAAGATACATACAGAGACGTTAACAATCTAAGTTAAACCCTAATTCCTCTTTACACTTTCGGACACATCTATGGGCCCATTTAATAATTTAAGTTTCAATGGTCTGTAGCAAAAATATATGTTTACAGATGAGCAATAATTTTAAAAACACACGAAAAGATGGTAAATAAATCCGCAGCAGTAATAACTTTTTCTTTGATGCAAAAATTTTTTTAGCTTAGGGATTTCAATACATTTATAATGCTAGGTGGGCCGATAGATATGTCCGGAAGTGTAGCAAGTTCAAGAAATTCATGACAAACCTGTAACAATAGAATACACAAGCGGCGAATAGCGCTGCGAAGCGGCCAGCGCTGCGAAGCGGCCAACGAGAACCTGTGCGCTCAATGAAGGGTTGCCAACCGTAGAATTTTTACTTTTGCAGCTAAAAATCTCGCAATCTGGTCCCCTCTCATGGGATGATCGCTTCAGATGAAGCTTGTAAGGCCCTTCTGGCCATAAGCATGATTAACGGGAGTATTTAGTCCGTAAAAGTCTGACATAACCCTACACCGCTGTATGGTATCCATGAGGATTGCTCACCCGCTCCCCCACATGGGAGGAAACAAAAAAAATCGTAATCTGGCTTTCGAACCTCGTACTCGATTTGCCCGAAATAGTAAATCAAATTAACTTAAAGGCCAACAGGTCAACTAACCGTAGACTAAATAAATGCATGCATCTAGTATGATGTTTCAGTCTAAAGAACATTTTACTTACGGTTAAAATAAAAATTATAATAAACATAAACTGGTTTAGATTCTTACGAATTCTGCTCCACATGTTGCCGACAATGAAAAATTGATAAATAAATGTATTACACAAAATCTCTTAGATAATTGCATGAGATGTGTAGTGTTTTCTTACTTCCAGACAGTACAGTACAGGAAGACCAGAAATTACGGTTGGCAACCTTGGCTCTGTGACTCAGAGTCGCCGCGCCTCGGTGTGCGCTGCGCTTGCGCCATACACGGAATGTACAAATGTACTGAGCCACACTAGGTCAGGTAGACATCCTGCACGCTCACCTGCATTTCGTTTACATCGTACAAAGTTTTTGAATTGGGTAGGTTAGGTTAGGTTAGCACACGGGCAACACGCCACAGCCACAAACGCCACCAGGAGAAGCTAGAAGCGGCTACTAAAGTGGCTGAAGCGCGCGACAGCGGCCGACTAAGGTAAGGGAGAGGGTTGTGGAATCGCGCTAGTGACGTGTGGCGGCTTTTTGTATCGGCACATTAAGTGGTCGGTGCGGGCCACAAGAAGCGAGCAACGACGATTTGTAGCGTGTGGCGGCCACCGGCGTATCGTGTGTGGCGAGTCCATATAAAATGTATGAAAACTACAAGAAATATGCCGGTGGCGGCGTTTTGCGGTTGTGGTCGGTGGCCCGTGTGCGGCGACACTAATGTGGCGGCGTTTTGTATCGGCGCATTAAGGGGCCGGCGCGGGCCACAAGTAGCGAGCTTCAGCCACTTTAGTAGCCACTTCTAGCTGTGGCGTTTGTGGCTGTGGCGTGTGGCCCGTGTGCGGCGACACTAAGTCGCGGCACGAAACTAACGCTGATCGTCATTTCGCAGAAGTAAAAATTAAGATGTCTTGGGGTTAACCGTGGTGCGCGGGGGTGCGTTGCGTCGATTAGTTTTCCAGTGGTACCCATGCGCAGCTATCCCCTCTGCGTTTTGTTCAGCGCTAGAGTTACGTGCCGCGACCTGTATTAAAAAACTAATGACGTCGATTTTCTGCATACTTTGCACAGCAGTGCCTTTTTTGACCCGACGAAACTCTTATATGCATAGCCCGCCGCTGGGTAAGGCTACAAGGTTATGTGGGACTCTACCTTCCGGCAACCCACAAGCACCATGGCTGCTCGGGATTGGAAGGCCCTACTAGGTACTAAAACTCCATGTTGCACTCAGCGTGCGTGACAAGCATGTGCCTGTTTGCAGAAGACAGTTAAGTTACCACAAACTTAAATTTTCGCTATAGATGTGAATCTTGCTATAAACAGCTTAATGGAGTTGAAGAAGCAATATGCAGGCCGGCAGAGTGAGGATGGCTGGTGTGGCAGGTAACATGCTAGCTGTCTTCGCATCTGGACTCCACCGTCACTTCCATGAGGAGGGGTTGACTCATTTGTCGGACCTATTTATAAAAAAAAATATTTAAGGCAGTTTTGGTAAACAAGACTTGTGCCTTTCTAGCATTAACTAGGAGTTGAAACATTAACGTCAAATTAAAAAGGAAGTTGGAGGCGTGGTTGGAGGGTCTTGCTAACGTCATCGCAGCTGCACCATCGCTGGATCTCTGCTTGGAGATCTTCGCTGAGGCCCGATTATGTATTTTCTACAGTTACGTAACATATCGTCATCATCTTTATTATATTAGGCCAGAGTCAAAGCAAATTATACAACGGAACAAATTTAATTCATCATTATCTACATAACGTAATGTATGATGATCTCCGTGGCCGAGTAGTTTGTACGCCGGGTTTCATATTGTCGCCGACTCGAGAGGTCGAGGGTTTGAATTCCGGTGCGGGCAAATATTTGCGCTAGTAGCAGTACAAGTTTTTTTTATTATTGTTATCGAACTTCATAATTGTTATTACTTGAGTATTTTTAAACGTCTTTTCTTCAGCTACAAGTAATAATTATGTAATTTAATGAAAACCTCTTATAAGCCTTTCAAGTAGTCATTAAGTTTGGATATAAATCTATATAATTTTAATAGAAGCTCGATGGCGCAGGTGATACGCGCGTTCGGCTGCGATCGTTGAAGTTAAGCAACTTTCGCAGTGTTCGGTCATTGGATGGGTGTCAATCTCCCTATTCCATCCATAGGGAAGGCTTGTGCCCTAGCAGTGGGGACATTATTAGGCTGAAGATGATAATTTAACGCTGTTGATTTTCTTAAATAAATAAAATAAAAATAAACTAAGTTAATTATATAGGTATATCTATTTTAAACGTTATAATAATAGCTAATTGAAGGACGGTGTCGCAGTCAGCGCGCGGTCGATTGTACCGGACTCTTAGCAGCTGGCAGCATCGCAAATTTTCTGAAACAAACATTACTATTTGTGGCATTTTCTTTTCTCTCGTGACCTAAGTATGAAAATATGGAAAAAGTTATTGCTTTTCTCAATGTAAACAATAATTGTTTGAATTTGAACGTACTTAACGCGATCAGCGGTTTCAAAACCATATTTAACAAGACAAGAAGCATTACATTAGGTTACTCCTACCTATATGCATTTGTTATCTTGTTTTAGTATCAAGAACTGTCTCAAAAAGCAATTTTATTGGCACATTGATACACCGATAAGTCATGATTATTTAGTTTACCTGATGTTAGTGGACTCGAAGTCTGATTCCGACAGTTGGACAGAAGTAGCAAGACGAGAGGTGGGTGGGTTCAGAAGAAGCATTGTGTTCTTTAACCCGGTGTTATTTGCCGATTCTTGCTTCTTTAGATTTCTAGAGGAAACACACAGACAGGCCAATTTAGATTAAGAGAATATGCAGGATGCTGCAATGAAGCAAACTTAGTAGTTAGGTATAGTAAGAGAGAAGCTGTAAATTGAGATATTCCTACTTTCTGATAAGATTAGTTTTATTTCATACTAGCGACCCGCCCTCGCTTCGCTTCGGTGTAGAGCTGTAGTGTAGACTAGTTTTTGTTCTCAAGTTTGTATTATACACAATGACTTTCTTCAATTCCAAACCTTCCATTCCAACTAAAAATGTTGTTGCGTAGTTCAGTCCCTCTAGCATGACCAACGAAACGGGATATGTTAAAGCGATATATCGGCATTTACTGTCAGACTACTATGGAGTTTGACAGTAGTCTGACAGTTAATGTCGATAAATCGCTTTATCATATCCCGTTTCGGTGGTCATGCTGGAGGGGCTGGAACCCGTTGTCAACGATATTTAATATCGTTGCTCGCTGTACCGAAAACGCTCCATTGCACTGCTGTTCCAATTTGAAAAAATATTTTTGTGTTGGATAGCGCATTTATCTAGGAACGTAGGTACTGTACCGATCTGAGCAGACGAGGTGGCCACGTGCTGCAGCGCGTCACGTAGGTACTGTACCCACCTGAGCAGGGGGGGCGGCGGAGGCCTGGCAGGCGCCGGCCACGTGCTGCAGCGCGTCACGTAGGTACTGTACCCACCTGAGCAGGGGGGGCGGCGGAGGCCTGGCAGGCGCCGGCCACGTGCTGCAGCGCGTCACGTAGGTACTGTACCCACCTGAGCAGGGGGGGCGGCGGAGGCCTGGCAGGCGCCGGCCACGTGCTGCAGCGCGTCACGTAGGTACTGTACCCACCTGAGCAGGGGGGGCGGCGGAGGCCTGGCAGGCGCCGGCCACGTGCTGCAGCGCGTCACGTAGGTACTGTACCCACCTGAGCAGGGGGGGCGGCGGAGGCCTGGCAGGCGCCGGCCACGTGCTGCAGCGCGTCACGTAGGTACTGTACCCACCTGAGCAGGGGGGGCGGCGGAGGCCTGGCAGGCGGCGGCCACGTGCTGCAGCGCGTCACGTAGGTACTGTACCCACCTGAGCAGGGGGGGCGGCGGAGGCCTGGCAGGCGCCGGCCACGTGCTGCAGCGCGTCACGTAGGTACTGTACCCACCTGAGCAGGGGGGGCGGCGGAGGCCTGGCAGGCGCCGGCCACGTGCTGCAGCGCGTCACGTAGGTACTGTACCCACCTGAGCAGGGGGGGCGGCGGAGGCCTGGCAGGCGCCGGCCACGTGCTGCAGCGCGTCACGTAGGTACTGTACCCACCTGAGCAGGGGGGGCGGCGGAGGCCTGGCAGGCGGCGGCCACGTGCTGCAGCGCGTCACGTAGGTACTGTACCCACCTGAGCAGGGGGGGCGGCGGAGGCCTGGCAGGCGGCGGCCACGTGCTGCAGCGCGTCACGTAGGTACTGTACCCACCTGAGCAGGGGGGGCGGCGGAGGCCTGGCAGGCGGCGGCCACGTGCTGCAGCGCGTCACGTAGGTACTGTACCCACCTGAGCAGGGGGGGCGGCGGAGGCCTGGCAGGCGGCGGCCACGTGCTGCAGCGCGTCACGTAGGTACTGTACCCACCTGAGCAGGGGGGGCGGCGGAGGCCTGGCAGGCGGCGGCCACGTGCTGCAGCGCGAGCGCGAGGGTGCGCGTGGGTCGGCCCGTCATGCGCCGCGCGCGCAGGTACGGCGCGCCCGCGTGCGACACGCGCCCCACCCCCGTGATGTCTAGGTGCAACCACTCCCCACATACGAAGTTCTGGTGCGACACGACAACGGAAAAGGTCACGTTTAACGGCTAATTTTATATCAACACTAGCGACCCGCCCTCGCTTCGCTTCGGTGTAGAGCTGAAGTGTAGACTACAGTTTGTTCTCAGGCTTGTATTAAACACAATGACATTCATCTATGATTCTTCTTATACCTGCATGCAAAGTCTCAGCCCGATCGGTTTAAAATTGACAAAGTTTCATACAAACTTTCATTCCCTATTTTATCCCTTTGGGGGTAGAATTGATCAAAATCCTTTCTTAGCGGATGCCTACGTCATAGCATCTACCTGCATGCCAAATTTCAGCCTGATCCGTCCAGTGGTTTGGGCTGTGCGTTGATAGATCACTATGTCAGTCAGTCACCTTTGAGTTTTATATTATATTACTCATAAAAGATAGATATATATGGTGTCGCAGAATTTTTTGTAGGACTATTTAAGATAAATATTTTCACCATACATTATATACATGTAGCACTAACTGTTTTTGCAGCACACGCCTGAATAGCTCGCAGATTGCAGAATTTTTTCAGACTTAAATGACATTTATCGTTATATTTTGGACAATTCACACAATATCTTTATAAATTATAGCCTATGTGTTATTCTGATCTATAAGCTACATTACTGTAAAGTTTCATTAAAATCCGTTTAGTAGTTTTTGCGTGAAAGAGGAACAAACATCCATCCATACATCCATCCAAACAAACTTTCGCCTTTATAATATTAGTAAGGATCAGCTTAACACGGTGCCTGAATACCGAATTGCGACATATCCTTAGTTTTCCCTACACGGAATAAAATATTTTCTAGTATTACTTTCATCATACCCGATACGGATGGCGATGAAACTAAAGGTATTGTTATGGGTCTTTAAAACAACATTGTTGTTGATTGAGGCGACATATCAAGAAAAGAAAGAAAAAGAAAAATAATTTTATTAACCCTTTACAACACTAACAACAAGTATGTAAAGATACCTTTACAATATTAAAAAAGGCCTAAGACCGGGACCCTGCCTCAGCATTAGCAGATACGACATTGTGTCACACCAGCGCTAATATACTGGTAGGGCCTGTTTAGAGTGTTTTGAGTTAAGGTTTGACAATTAACGGTGGGATTACGTTTCCCTTCATGAAAAAAAATAAACAAGTTTCACGAAGTTATGAAGTCTAAACTTTACCTGAAGAAAGGCAGCGCCAAGGCAGGCAGTGGCTTTACCAGATCCTTGATTTCGTAGGTCCACAGCAGGATCATCTGTTTTATACATAATGCAATATAAGTAATCGAGAAACAGTCTTACGTCTTAATTGAGTATTTTCTACGAGCATAATAAGTAGTTACTGACATTATTGAAATGTTTCGAATTATATGTAAAGTATTGAGGAGCTCGATGGCGCAAGTGGTTAGTGCGCTCGGCTGCAAACGTTGAAGTTAAGCAACTTTCGCAGTGGTCGGTCATTGGAAGGGTGACCAAAAACTAACTATCTCAAGCTCCTCCATGCTTCGGAAGGCTCGTTAAGCCGTTGGTCCCGGCTGCATACGCAGTCGTTAACACCCACCAATCCGCACTGGGCCCGCGTGGTGGGTCATGGCCCAATCTCCCTATTCCATCCATAGGGAAGGCCTGTGCCCCAGCAGTGGGGACATTAATAGGCTGATGATGATGATATGTAAAGGTCGTCAACAAACACGATCTACCTTATTTATTGGACTCGCGCGTTGTTTACTTCATAGAAATACTTCAAACCTCTTTTAAGAAAATTATGTTGTAAAAAGCAAACGTGAGGTTGGAACTCATTAAAAATAACGCAGGCTCATCACCGCTCTTTTGATTTCATTCGTTTTTGCAACGGTTGCATAATATAATAATGATATTTATTTATAAATGTTGTACACGGTTATATTGTTATGAATTTGTATAGTATACTAGCTGACCCAGCGAACTTCGTACCGCCATAAAAAAATAGGGGTTGGTGGTAGAAGAGTGAAAATTTAGGGTTGAATGTATTTTTGTACGATGTATCATAAAAAAATTTAAAAAAAATATCTAAAATTACAAAAAAAAAATTTAGGTGTGGATTACCCTGAACATTTAGGGGGATGAAAAATAGATGTTGTCCGATTCTCAGACCTACCCAATATGCACACAAAATTTCATGAGAATCGGGAAAGCCGTTTCGGAGGAGTTTAACCACAAACACCGCGACACGAGAATTTTATATATTAGATATACCCGTGAGTTGCCGCTGGTAGTAGTGCCACAGCGGCAGGCGCCAGGGCCGGTCGCCCGTGGTGGCGCCGGCGCGCTGCAGTATATTCCACACGTTGTCGCTGTTGCTGAATGATCCAAATGCTCCCCCGCCCATCGCCAGCGCCACGCCCTCTGCACAATTACATATAAGTACTATGTTAGTATTTCCCAACTCATCACTCATATCAGAAATCAATATATCTTTATAACAATTGGATGTGTACGAGCAAGCACGTACATCGTCACATCAGCACATTTCGGTGACCTAAATTACCTATTCACAATTAATTTTATTGCACAAAATCAGTTCGCAATCATCAACTCATCAAGTCACGCGTACTCATAGCAATTATTATTTTATAGTTATTTTTAGTCCTTTCTCCAAATATACAGTTTTATACTACAATATTAGTTTATCATTTATTAGTTCCAACCCGAACAGGTTGTATTAATACTACTATTCAGGCTTGTCATGGTTACTTAAGCAGCTTATTGAGGTACCAAATTCTTCCCTGGGGTAACTCATGACACTTAAATCAAGCATTTGTCGCACAAAAGCAACGTATTCGTGCTATTTGTAATATTGATTGCCGTACATCCTGCAGGTGTAGACCATTCTTTAAACAGCATAAGCTGCTGACGCTACCTTGCATGTACATTTTTGAAGTGTGTGTGTTTGCCAAAACTAACACCGAGTTATTTAAAAAGAAAAAAGATTAGGACTTTAGCACGGTAATAATATCATAATATTACCGTGACTTTAGTTTTAACATTAAATGATTTTTTAGAGAAAAAAATGATACTTAATCAAAATAATAAAATAAATAAATTGGATTAGAAGAGAAAGAAAAGTCTTACCAAGAATTAGAAAAGGCCATACCGAACATAATAAACACTAATATTTAAGTTCCATGTGACAACAATAACAGTGAATCTGTTATGAGGTTTGATTTTCTTTGAATTAATGTATTGAAACTTTATTTACTGTACATCGTAATTAAAATAACAAATAATTGAAATAATTTTTAAAGCACCAACGGCGCGCGGCGGCCTCAAAAATCGAACCGTGGTATCGTATCAATCACAAAATAAATACTTGAAAATTGAACCGCCGAAAATACTTGAAAGCATAGAATAATGTTTTATTTTTAGTCTAATTGACAAATTAATATTTGAAGTTGGTGCCATGCATGTCTGATAGATCTCAGTTCCCATTTACTTTCAAAACTTTCAAAAAATCATGAAATTCGTGTAACGTAATTTATGGATGACCCCCTAGATACCCTAACGCCCTAGATGTTCTTTAAAAAACTACGGCTCTGTACCATAGAAATGCGTATTGTATGACCATATTATGTATTTATAACAGTTTGCCGGATGATCTCAAGATTTTGCCTTTAAATACGTTGAAGAGGAAACTTAAAACTTGGTTGATTGAGAACTGTTTTTATTTTGTTGAAGAGTTTATGGGTAGGGTTGCAACGATATATCGGAATATCGATATTATCGATAATATCGAGACCAAAATATCGATATTTATATCGATATTTAAAATTCACTGATATCGATAATATCGATATCGGAAATTCCAAAATATCGATATTTCGTAGACTTAATTTGAACACAATAATATCAATTAATTTACCTGCTACGACTATCTAAATTGAATAATATCGAAATGACTATTGCTTTGAAATTGTAAGAGCTTATAGATGTATTAAAAAAATCTCGAACCCCAAGAAATATACTAAACTGGTGTGGACTCTGGCATGTTTCGCTAAACCTAAAATTAAATTTGACAACAGTGTATCCTTGTCATTCTCTTTACAGAATGAAAAGGAGAGACTGATGTTAAATTTAGTTTTAAATTTAGATAATCATGCCAGAATCGACACCAACGTATATAGGTATAATCGTATACCTAATGATAACTCATGCACTTAAATAAAATCCTTGCCTCTTTTTCTAGATAATTGTCAACTACTGATTAATTGAAATTTAATATCATTGTAATATAACACAAAATAAAATTAAGAATCTTATACAAATCGTAAATTTTTTTAGCTCGCCAAGTCAAGAAAGTAAGATAGGTATAGTAATTTTGGAAGCTTTGGGCTTACCCTATTCTGAAGCCTGATGTGTAGGTTTTACTAATTCATAACAATTATTTTTCATATGATTATCTATTCTGATTTTGGCTGCGTGCAAATATTTCAAACAAAATAAATATCTTTGATTCGAAATTGCTTTTGATTTGATACTTCTTACAGTGCTATAAAAAAATATAGAAAATATCGTGTTGGAAATGTTGGAATGGCTGACATATCTGATCGGATATCGATATTTACCTGCCCACATTATAAATATCGATATTTCGGAAACCTTTGCATCCTTAATTTTAGGTTTTTGCTTTGCAAACTTAATATAAAGCAAAAAAAAAGAAAAAAATATCGATATATCGATAATATCGAGTTAAAATGGTCGATATATCGGATATCGATATTTGCCTGACTTCGATATAAATATCGATATAAATATCGATATTTCAAAAGACTTTGCATCCCTATTTATGGGTTTATGTAAAAGACGACAGTAGTTTGCTATTTTTTTACCCCTTGGTTTGGACGGCTTATAGATAGTTCACTTTTCTTTCTTTCTGTTCAATTTGTATGCCAATTTCTGGTGAATTGTGCGTGTCTCAACAAATAATGTAACACTTTTTGGACCACTTGTCTTATAAATAAATAAATATTGTACAACTCTTTTGGACCATTCGTCCATATTTTTTCCCCTACCATTCATTAATGGACATATTTTTTAGCTGCGGAGAAAAACGAGCGAAAAAATCTCCACAACATTAAAAGTATAATGTAACAACATTTATTATACCTACCTACTCAACTAGGTCTATCGAGTTAAGTCTGCAAACTACTGAGTTTGCAGACTTGACTCGATATACTTAGTAGACGGGTATTGACACTGGTCAAAATTCTTGATTTCACGAAAACTCAGAGTCTTGAACAAGGTGCGGCGTTTTTTCGCGTTTCACAAACTGTGCTTGTTATACAAGACGTCAGTGTGGTCCTGTGTAGAATTCTCCATAGTTACGCCATGATTGGGCATGTGAGTCTTCTGACGAGCTATTCTCATGTATCCTACCTTCCCCTTTCCTTCAGAAGACCACGCGTACTGGCCTACGTTGCCTGCGGCTTATTGTGACAAAGATTCCTACAGGAATAAAGAAATTTGGTGAGCCATTTCTTTGTCGCACTTTTTCCAAGTGGAAGTCTTACCCGCACCTTTCCACAAACTAGTCCTTTAAAACAGATGTGAAGAAGCATTTGTGCAGGTCAGCAAGGTGAGGATGGTTGGTGTTTATAACTGCTGCACCAGCTATCTTCGCATCTGGACTTTACCACCACTTAAAATCCGATGGGAAAGAGTAATGCCTACCTAACTATAAAAAACCTACCAACTTCTAGAAGTTTTAAAAGCCTCCCTTTTTTCTATTTTTTTACCATCTTTACTGTTTTGTATGAAGTGGGCGTGTAAAGAAAAGTTTTCCAAAGTTGAGCTGTGTTGAATTTAAAAAAAAAACGAAGGTCTTTAGTCCGGCAGCATTGCATTTAAGTTGACCTCGCGAGGCTCCTTGGTGTGCGTGCCCCATCATCAGCCGCCCCTCCATACGTTGGTCCTTCGAGCCGGATACGTACTGGTGAGCGTGGCCACGTCGACGACGAGCGCGGGCTTGTGCAGCGCCTGCCCGTACACCAGCGCGTCCCCATCACCAGCCGCCCCTCCATACGTTGGTCCTTCGAGCCGGATACGTACTGGTGAGCGTGGCCACGTCGACGACGAGCGCGGGCTTGTGCAGCGCCTGCCCGTACACCAGCGCGTCCCCATCACCAGCCGCCCCTCCATACGTTGGTCCTTCGAGCCGGATACGTACTGGTGAGCGTGGCCACGTCGACGACGAGCGCGGGCTTGTGCAGCGCCTGCCCGTACACCAGCGCGTCCCCATCACCAGCCGCCCCTCCATACGTTGGTCCTTCGAGCCGGATACGTACTGGTGAGCGTGGCCACGTCGACGACGAGCGCGGGCTTGTGCAGCGCCTGCCCGTACACCAGCGCGTCCCCATCACCAGCCGCCCCTCCATACGTTGGTCCTTCGAGCCGGATACGTACTGGTGAGCGTGGCCACGTCGACGACGAGCGCGGGCTTGTGCAGCGCCTGCCCGTACACCAGCGCGTCCCCATCACCAGCCGCCCCTCCATACGTTGGTCCTTCGAGCCGGATACGTACTGGTGAGCGTGGCCACGTCGACGACGAGCGCGGGCTTGTGCAGCGCCTGCCCGTACACCAGCGCGTCCCCATCACCAGCCGCCCCTCCATACGTTGGTCCTTCGAGCCGGATACGTACTGGTGAGCGTGGCCACGTCGACGACGAGCGCGGGCTTGTGCAGCGCCTGCCCGTACACCAGCGCGTCCCCATCACCAGCCGCCCCTCCATACGTTGGTCCTTCGAGCCGGATACGTACTGGTGAGCGTGGCCACGTCGACGACGAGCGCGGGCTTGTGCAGCGCCTGCCCGTACACCAGCGCGTCCCCATCACCAGCCGCCCCTCCATACGTTGGTCCTTCGAGCCGGATACGTACTGGTGAGCGTGGCCACGTCGACGACGAGCGCGGGCTTGTGCAGCGCCTGCCCGTACACCAGCGCGTCCCCATCACCAGCCGCCCCTCCATACGTTGGTCCTTCGAGCCGGATACGTACTGGTGAGCGTGGCCACGTCGACGACGAGCGCGGGCTTGTGCAGCGCCTGCCCGTACACCAGCGCGTCCCCATCACCAGCCGCCCCTCCATACGTTGGTCCTTCGAGCCGGATACGTACTGGTGAGCGTGGCCACGTCGACGACGAGCGCGGGCTTGTGCAGCGCCTGCCCGTACACCAGCGCGTCCCCATCACCAGCCGCCCCTCCATACGTTGGTCCTTCGAGCCGGATACGTACTGGTGAGCGTGGCCACGTCGACGACGAGCGCGGGCTTGTGCAGCGCCTGCCCGTACACCAGCGCGTCCCCATCACCAGCCGCCCCTCCATACGTTGGTCCTTCGAGCCGGATACGTACTGGTGAGCGTGGCCACGTCGACGACGAGCGCGGGCTTGTGCAGCGCCTGCCCGTACACCAGCGCGTCCCCATCACCAGCCGCCCCTCCATACGTTGGTCCTTCGAGCCGGATACGTACTGGTGAGCGTGGCCACGTCGACGACGAGCGCGGGCTTGTGCAGCGCCTGCCCGTACACCAGCGCGTCCCCATCACCAGCCGCCCCTCCATACGTTGGTCCTTCGAGCCGGATACGTACTGGTGAGCGTGGCCACGTCGACGACGAGCGCGGGCTTGTGCAGCGCCTGCCCGTACACCAGCGCGTCCCCATCACCAGCCGCCCCTCCATACGTTGGTCCTTCGAGCCGGATACGTACTGGTGAGCGTGGCCACGTCGACGACGAGCGCGGGCTTGTGCAGCGCCTGCCCGTACACCAGCGCGTCCCCATCACCAGCCGCCCCTCCATACGTTGGTCCTTCGAGCCGGATACGTACTGGTGAGCGTGGCCACGTCGACGACGAGCGCGGGCTTGTGCAGCGCCTGCCCGTACACCAGCGCGTCCCCATCACCAGCCGCCCCTCCATACGTTGGTCCTTCGAGCCGGATACGTACTGGTGAGCGTGGCCACGTCGACGACGAGCGCGGGCTTGTGCAGCGCCTGCCCGTACACCAGCGCGTCCCCATCACCAGCCGCCCCTCCATACGTTGGTCCTTCGAGCCGGATACGTACTGGTGAGCGTGGCCACGTCGACGACGAGCGCGGGCTTGTGCAGCGCCTGCCCGTACACCAGCGCGTCCCCATCACCAGCCGCCCCTCCATACGTTGGTCCTTCGAGCCGGATACGTACTGGTGAGCGTGGCCACGTCGACGACGAGCGCGGGCTTGTGCAGCGCCTGCCCGTACACCAGCGCGTCCCCATCACCAGCCGCCCCTCCATACGTTGGTCCTTCGAGCCGGATACGTACTGGTGAGCGTGGCCACGTCGACGACGAGCGCGGGCTTGTGCAGCGCCTGCCCGTACACCAGCGCGTCCCCATCACCAGCCGCCCCTCCATACGTTGGTCCTTCGAGCCGGATACGTACTGGTGAGCGTGGCCACGTCGACGACGAGCGCGGGCTTGTGCAGCGCCTGCCCGTACACCAGCGCGTCCCCATCACCAGCCGCCCCTCCATACGTTGGTCCTTCGAGCCGGATACGTACTGGTGAGCGTGGCCACGTCGACGACGAGCGCGGGCTTGTGCAGCGCCTGCCCGTACACCAGCGCGTCCCCATCACCAGCCGCCCCTCCATACGTTGGTCCTTCGAGCCGGATACGTACTGGTGAGCGTGGCCACGTCGACGACGAGCGCGGGCTTGTGCAGCGCCTGCCCGTACACCAGCGCGTCCCCATCACCAGCCGCCCCTCCATACGTTGGTCCTTCGAGCCGGATACGTACTGGTGAGCGTGGCCACGTCGATGACGAGCGCGGGCTTGTGCAGCGCCTGCCCGTACACCAGCGCGTCCCCATCATCAGCCGCCCCTCCATACGTTGGTCCTTCGAGCCGGATACGTACTGGTGAGCGTGGCCACGTCGACGACGAGCGCGGGCTTGTGCAGCGCCTGCCCGTACACCAGTGCATCCGCCATCATCAGCCGCCCCTCCATGTCCGTGTTCTCGATCTAAACACAAACAAACAAATACTGGTTTCAAGATTTGGGGAATATACGTACCCATTTTAAACATATCGATTAATTTGATAACTACTTAGTTGGAGTTACAGTAGTGATCCTGTTTGCTCTTCTTTGCAAAGATCCTGTTTTCAACCAGATAGTATGTATCAGTTACTTACTTAGTGTATCAATTATTTGTCAATTGCACAGGTACCAACAGTACAAAGCCCGGCTACTTGACACTATATTTATTTGCAATAATAATATTATTTATTCTCATTCTTTCCCACTGAAAGAACACAAACAGCAGAAACCATCAATCGAAAGTCTGCATTCGCCACAGAACAAAGAAAGACGTTACAAGGGTCTTATGGGCGGGGCAGGCGTGCCACTGTTATTTGTCAGCAAATGCTCATAACTTGACCAAAACTTGGTTGTGATTACGTCGTTGCTCTCGGGTGTGAACGCTGATTGGTTCCATTGTTTGATGTCGCGTCGTTTGATTGGCTATTATCTTTTAGGCGGGCGAGCCGGCGACATCGGTTCCCTTATTAACGGTCTATTCCCTTTTAACCTCTTTTTGTGTTCTGTTGCATTCGCTTTTAAATTTCTATAGTTTTTTTAATTTATTATGTATCTATTATTGCCCCGATGTTTGATATTGTCGCTACAATACGTCGACAATGTAATACAGTCAAACATTTAAGTTCCAAAAACAAGTCAATGCGTCAACAAGGTGGCTGAAATCTTGAGAATATCCGTCCGCACTGTTTATTCCGTTTTAAAGGAGCACAAGGAGAACGACTGTGAATCACTAAACCCTCCCGAAAACTCTGGCCCAAAACTTACATTTAAAGAAAAACTTGATGATTGATGATGATTCACCGCTATTAGGCGAATTGTACATCAGTTCTGTCATAGAAATGAAGTACCCACCATCGCAAAGGTTAGTTTTCCTGTCATCACTAATCTTATTATTATTCGTTAGGTATAATATGTTTTATGTTTTTGTTGTTGCGATAGTGATTCCGAAAATGATTGATTAATAAATAACATTGTTATGACAATTTTGTTTAATTTTGGATGTACGTCCTTATACTTCCACTGAAAAAGATCAATCCTTTATTAAAGTAATAATAATAGAATAAAAAAACATTACAACTTAATATTAAATCTCTAAAATAAAACCAAACTGATCACTCATTTATTGAATGATTCACTTACTCACTTAGCTACATCCCTATTTATTTTTCTTCAAAAAGCGGTAACCCACAAAACGTCATTTTACTGCAGCTAATAAAAAGTTCTACTTTACACTCGCGTTAAAAACAAAACTACATAAAATACTGTATGCGGGCGGCCCTACCGCGTGCTAACGCAGCGCTCGGCCGTAGGTATTTATTTCAAGGACAGGGCGGAGTCACAATACTGTATAGATAATATTACCGTGATTAGGTCTAGTGTGTAGTGCAGTATATAGTGCCTGTACCTGTATGGAGAGTCCGTTGAGCGCGCGCACCACGTCGCCCACCTTCATGCACTGCCCGCTGATCATGTTCTCGCACAGAGGGATGCACGCGCATACGTTTATCGGCACCTATTTGTCAAACAGATAGCAAACATTTATTCATTAACATCGATACTGATACGGTTAATAGGTAATTTGGATTAACATTTTATACATTCACTAGATTTTAGTTTTTGTAATTTAATTTTATATATATTGTAATATGTAAAAATGAACTTAGTAGTTAAGTCATATCGATACTCGATAGTAGAATATTTACTCTCATTAATAATGCATTTATATCCTGTCACGTCATGCTAGTATTCATTGCAATCTTAAGAGGCACCTATTCACTTAAGAGCCCTTTTACAAAATTGCCCCGCGCTGCCGTACTGATAGATTACGTGCGTACGTACGGCGTGTAGGTAGATTTGCACTAGTATACATAGCATTTTACGGGTGATGTTTCCACTCTTATAAAATAATGATTAATGAAATAATTATAAATATATATATATATATATATTTGTAGTTCAATGATGGTAGATTAGTTTTATGAAAGTTTATGATAGTAATTCTATTTAATTCAATATCAAAATGCGAGGTAAACCTGCATTATTTTTTGAGAAAACTCACGGTGGTTACATGTTTTTTTTTGATAATTAATAAGATGTAAAATCAAAATTCTTATACATTATATTACAACAAAAATATATTTCATATGTCGTAGTAATTAATTTTATCTAATTTTTAAACATTATTGAGAGATTGAGGCGTTTGAAGTTGTACATTTTATCGTTTTTTCCGTCAACTAGCTGCAGTAGAACGATCAGTACAAAAAAGGGAAAATAATATTTGCAAATATTCTACATTAACTTACAAAAGGAAGAATAAATCTACTGTTTACTTCTATTTGAAATAGTCAAAATCTTTTCTAAAGGGGTAAACGAGGCGTGCATTTTTTTTTTCTATACTACCATTAGCCTATTATCGATGAACACTGAAAGAGGTATTTCTCTCTCCTTTTTTGTGTTCTGTGCCTTCTTAGCTTCCTTACTACCTTGAGTTCGGCGATAGTTCTGATGGCAGCGAGAGCGACGGCGGCGCCGGCCATACTGCCCCGCGTCTCTGACATTTCCTCGCCCTTTTTCAGACACAACCCGCCGCTGTAATCATACATATGTTTTTAGAAAAGTTTAGCAAATTGGCCTATAACAGATGTTAAGTATATCGCCCTCATGGATTCGGTGGGCTCGTCTATACTTAACGGCAGGGGCGTGCAGTCGATAGTGCTCGACTGCAAGTTGGTGGTGCTTGGTGTAGTGTAATGATATCTATATATTGTTTTAAACTTTCATGGTCACTAACATTATAGCTAGGGTTGCAACGATATATCGGAATATCGATATTATCGATAATATCGAGACCAAAATATCGATATTTATATCGATATTTAAAATTCACTGATATCGATAATATCGATATCGGAAATTCCAAAATATCGATATTTCGTAGACTTAATTTGAACACAATAATATCAATTAATTTACCTGCTACGACTATCTAAATTGAATAATATCGAAATGACTATTGCTTTGAAATTGTAAGAGCTTATAGATGTATTAAAAAAATCTCGAACCCCAAGAAATATACTAAACTGGTGTGGACTCTGGCATGTTTCGCTAAACCTAAAATTAAATTTGACAACAGTGTATCCTTGTCATTCTCTTTACAGAATGAAAAGGAGAGACTGATGTTAAATTTAGTTTTAAATTTAGATAATCATGCCAGAATCGACACCAACGTATATAGGTATAATCGTATACCTAATGATAACTCATGCACTTAAATAAAATCCTTGCCTCTTTTTCTAGATAATTGTCAACTACTGATTAATTGAAATTTAATATCATTGTAATATAACACAAAATAAAATTAAGAATCTTATACAAATCGTAAATTTTTTTAGCTCGCCAAGTCAAGAAAGTAAGATAGGTATAGTAATTTTGGAAGCTTTGGGCTTACCCTATTCTGAAGCCTGATGTGTAGGTTTTACTAATTCATAACAATTATTTTTCATATGATTATCTATTCTGATTTTGGCTGCGTGCAAATATTTCAAACAAAATAAATATCTTTGATTCGAAATTGCTTTTGATTTGATACTTCTTACAGTGCTATAAAAAAATATAGAAAATATCGTGTTGGAAATGTTGGAATGGCTGACATATCTGATCGGATATCGATATTTACCTGCCCACATTATAAATATCGATATTTCGGAAACCTTTGCATCCTTAATTTTAGGTTTTTGCTTTGCAAACTTAATATAAAGCAAAAAAAAAGAAAAAAATATCGATATATCGATAATATCGAGTTAAAATGGTCGATATATCGGATATCGATATTTGCCAGACTTCGATATAAATATCGATATAAATATCGATATTTCAAAAGACTTTGCATCCCTAATTATAGCTATTAACGGGATTGTTACCATGTACCTTGTTTTTTATGAGTCTCCGATATTTCGGCACTGTTGCAAGCGCCATGATCACGGAGTAACTGAAGTAATTGCGGGTAGATGTTATTGGCAGACATATCGGTCTACCCTCTGACGTCGTCTTTTACTGCGCTCGATACCCCTACCATTGGTCACGTTCTCACTATTCACTCGCACCTGTTCCCGACACACAATACTCACAGTATCCGATCGCGGAACGACACTTTTTTGATTTTTACGGTTTTTGCACATACGAACCACTGGATTCCAGACACTTGACAATTTAAACCCATCCTCACGATTGAAATTTTTGTGTTTGGTTATTTCAATCGCTTCCCTGACCAATCTTGGTGTGTAGTGGCGTTCTGTCGAGATGATTTGTGGATTATGGAGCTCAATCCAGTGGTTCGGACCCGAATCGATTAAATGTTCCGCGATAGCTGATTTCTGCGTATCATTGTTTCTGACTGCTTTTATGTGTTCTTTCATTCGGCACGCTATTGTCCGCTTCGTTTGGCCAATATATGAACTACCACAGCTGCAGTCGATCTTATATACACCAGGTTTCTCCAAAGGGAAGTTGTCTTTGGGAGATCGTAGAAACTGTGACACTTTTTGTAAAGGAGTGAAGACAGTATTCAGTGAGTACTTATTAAGTATGTTCGAGATCTTGTCTGTCACTCCTTTGATATATGGCAAAAATACTGGTTGCCTGCTTACTATGTGTGTCTGGTGCCTTAATTTGTGTTTGGGTGGAAACTGTCCCTTGTATCCATTATTCTGTAGGACCCGCCGTACATACTCCAACTCTTCGTGCAGGTGTTCCTTGTCACACAAGTCATATGCACGGTTTGTCAGTGAAGTCACTACAGAATTTAGATGTCTGGGGTGGTGATGCGAAGAGGCGTTGAGATAACGGTCTGTGTGTGTGAGTTTGCGGTGAATGGAATGACTCAGCGAACCATCATTCCGCACCCGAATCTTTACGTCAAGAAATGCCAGACTTCGGTCTTCTTCCATCTCATATGTGAAATGCATTTTGGTATGGACTCCATTTAAATTTGCCAAATGAGCCTCGACATCTTCTTTGTTTCCTCTCAATATACAAAATACGTCATCAACATACCTCTTCCATAGTGCAATTTCTGTGGGGGCGGTGGCGAAAGCTTTTTCCTCAAAATACTCCATCCATATATTGGCAACGACTGGAGCTACCGGACTGCCCATTGCGACCCCATCTATTTGGAGGTAGTACTGACCCTGATATATAAAGAAGTTCGTCGTCAAACAATGATGCAAAAACTTGGCATATTCCGTCGGGATGTTATTGTCTTGCAATTTCACCTTTACTACTTCCAAACAGTCCACCACAGGTACATTTGTGAAAAGTGATTCCACGTCGAAAATTTGCTACGTCCTAGAAACGTCCAGCCTCCAAAACTATATGGACTGCCTAAGATACACAAGCTGAATGTGCCGCTACGTCCGATCGTGAGTCAGATAGACTCACCTACGTATGAACTGGCCAAGCACGTAGCAAAAATATTGCAGCCAATAGTGGGACGAACATCGTCGTTTGTAAAAGATTCCCGCCACTTCGTAGAAATCTTACACCAAAACAAGGTGGAAGACAATCACTTGATGGTTAGTTTCGACGTGGAATCACTTTTCACAAATGTACCTGTGGTGGACTGTTTGGAAGTAGTAAAGGTGAAATTGCAAGACAATAACATCCCGACGGAATATGCCAAGTTTTTGCATCATTGTTTGACGACGAACTTCTTTATATATCAGGGTCAGTACTACCTCCAAATAGATGGGGTCGCAATGGGCAGTCCGGTAGCTCCAGTCGTTGCCAATATATGGATGGAGTATTTTGAGGAAAAAGCTTTCGCCACCGCCCCCACAGAAATTGCACTATGGAAGAGGTATGTTGATGACGTATTTTGTATATTGATAGGAAACAAAGAAGATGTCGAGGCTCATTTGGCAAATTTAAATGGAGTCCATACCAAAATGCATTTCACATATGAGATGGAAGAAGACCGAAGTCTGGCATTTCTTGACGTAAAGATTCGGGTGCGGAATGATGGTTCGCTGAGTCATTCCATTCACCGCAAACTCACACACACAGACCGTTATCTCAACGCCTCTTCGCATCACCACCCCAGACATCTAAATTCTGTAGTGACTTCACTGACAAACCGTGCATATGACTTGTGTGACAAGGAACACCTGCACGAAGAGTTGGAGTATGTACGGCGGGTCCTACAGAATAATGGATACAAGGGACAGTTTCCACCCAAACACAAATTAAGGCACCAGACACACATAGTAAGCAGGCAACCAGTATTTTTGCCATATATCAAAGGAGTGACAGACAAGATCTCGAACATACTTAATAAGTACTCACTGAATACTGTCTTCACTCCTTTACAAAAAGTGTCACAGTTTCTACGATCTCCCAAAGACAACTTCCCTTTGGAGAAACCTGGTGTATATAATATCGACTGCAGCTGTGGTAGTTCATATATTGGCCAAACGAAGCGGACAATAGCGTGCCGAATGAAAGAACACATAAAAGCAGTCAGAAACAATGATACGCAGAAATCAGCTATCGCGGAACATTTAATCGATTCGGGTCCGAACCACTGGATTGAGCTCCATAATCCACAAATCATCTCGACAGAACGCCACTACATACCAAGATTGGTCAGGGAAGCGATTGAAATAACCAAACACAAAAATTTCAATCGTGAGGATGGGTTTAAATTGTCAAGTGTCTGGAATCCAGTGGTTCGTATGTGCAAAAACCGTAAAAATCAAAAAAGTGTCGTTCCGCGATCGGATACTGTGAGTATTGTGTGTCGGGAACAGGTGCGAGTGAATAGTGAGAACGTGACCAATGGTAGGGGTATCGAGCGCAGTAAAAGACGACGTCAGAGGGTAGACCGATATGTCTGCCAATAACATCTACCCGCAATTACTTCAGTTACTCCGTGATCATGGCGCTTGCAACAGTGCCGAAATATCGGAGACTCATAAAAAACAAGGTACATGGTAACAATCCCGTTAATAGCTATAATGATATCTACTGTAGTGTACTGTTACTGTAGTACAATGTACTTTAGTGCAGTGTAGCAGTGCACCTATCGTAGGTGATTAATAAAGGAGATTGCTCAGCTTCCATACATGTTTGGCCTAAAGACCAATAATCATGAAAAATTGTTTCCTAGATTCGAAATCTTTATATATATAATTCTTCTGTGAGTGTGTATGTCACTGAACTTCTCTTAAACGACTGGACCGATTTTGATGAAATTTTTTGTGTGTGTTCAAGGGGATCTGAGAATGGTTTAGATTCACAATTTTGTCCGCTGGACAACCCCTATTTTTTTAGGGCGGTACGAAGTTCGCTGGGTCAGCTAGTTATATATAAATTACTGTAGAAACGAATATGATTGACGGACACCCATTAGAACTTCTATAAACCATATACATTGAACATATTAAAATAATAAAAAACAAATAAGTTATATAGTAAACTAGGGAAATCAAGCCAAGTACCGAAATTATGGATTAGATTCAGGTATATAGAGCATGTAGATTAACAGATAGTTGCCTGTTTTTAAAGTTAATGCATAAGAGTAATTTTTAAAATCAGGTGTCATTTCCGGTTATATTAAGGTACTCTGTGACAGAAACTGTGTGTGTGAATGAGCCACAGATTAGAGAGAATTTTCAAACTCTCGTTAACCAAAGAAAGCTAAGAGATTTAGGTTCTACAGCCATATATTCAGTAGCTTCATTATTTTTGTTATGTTTTTAAGATAACCATATTATAGATTTTTAGTGTATCACACCTTATAATTTTATTTATTAATTAATTTATAGTCAGGGAACGTAGGCCCATAGATAGATACCTTAAAGTCTAACATATAGGTATACAGATTATAATGTGTTTATGGAGGTGTTTGGCGAAAAATGTATAGCAATAGCTTTATGATGTCGCCTACCATCTATAATGATTGTCTGAGCACATTTGCATCTAGTGAAAATAATAATAAAGTTGTGGATATTAATACCACAGTGTAATAAAAAAAAATGATTTATTTTATCCATCTTTACTAAATAGATTTGTTTTTATGTTATATAAACAACTTCGATCAGTCTTTGGCTGAATGTTACTACACCCATAGCCATTAAAAATGATTCGTATGTTTTCCAAACCGGTAAAATTAAAAGTCCTTTTTAAAGTAAATATATTATACAAAGGTGTCCGTTGAAATCAAATGACTAAATTAAATTATAAATTACGCCAAGAATTACCGTGTATGTCAATATTTCTTGTGCATTTAGGCCAATTTGAGCAATCTCCTTTTGCCACTTTAAGCATGTTTGGGGTATCGGGGCTAGTTTTGAGCGAGCAGACAGAGCATGAACGGCTCTTGGTGTTATTTAATGTACCGCAGCGTAGAGTAATGTAGCGTATTACAACCTAGTGTGATGTGGGGTAGTGTAGTGTAGTTCAATTGAGGTAGTTGACACCTTTAGCTACTATTATCACTTTGGGGGTTTCGCAGCTAGTCTTGAGCAGTGACAATGAGAAGTGTCGCGTAAGTGTAGTGTGATACATATAGTGTAGTATCTTGTCGCATAGTGTAGCGTAGATTACCTGTCGTAAGTGACGCCTTTAGCCACAATAAGCACGTTGGGGGCGTCGGGACTAGTTTTGAGGGAGCAGACTAGCATGAACGGCTCTTGGTGTTATGTAATGTACCGCAGCGTAGTGTAATGTAGCATAGTACAATCTAGTGTGATGTGGGGTAGTGTAGTGTAGTTCAACTGAGGTAGGTGACACCTTTAGCCACTATAAGCACTTTGGGGGTTTCGCGGCTAGTCTTGAGCAATGACAATGAGTAGTGTCGCGTAAGTGTAGTGTGATACATATAGTGTAGTACTTTGTCGCATAGTGTAGCGTAGATTACCTGTCGTAAGTGACGCCTTTAGCCACAATAAGCACGTTGGGAGCGTCGGGGCTAGTTTTGAGGGAGCAGACTAGCATGAACGGCTCTTGGTGTTATGTAATGTACCGCAGCGTAGTGTAATGTAGCATAGTACAATCTAGTGTGATGTGGGGTAGTGTAGTGTAGTTCAACTGAGGTAGGTGACACCTTTAGCCACTATAAGCACTTTGGGGGTTTCGCAGCTAGTCTTGAGCAATGACTATGAGTAGTGTCGCGTAAGTGTAGTGTAATACATATAGTGTAGTATCTTGTCGCAGAGTTTAGCGTAGATTACCTGTCGTAAGTGACGCCTTTAGCCACAATAAGCACGTTAGGGGCGTCGGGGCTAGTTTTGAGGGAGCAGACTAGCATGAACGACTCTTGGTGTTATTTAATGTACCGCAGCGAAGTGTAATGTAGCGTATTACAACCTAGTGTGCTGTGGGGTAGTGTAGTGTAGTTCAACTGAGGTAGGTGACACCTTTAGCTACTATTATCACTTTGGGGGTTTCGCAGCTAGTCTTGAGCAGTGACAATGAGAAGTGTCGCGTAAGTGTAGTGTGATACATATAGTGTAGTATCTTGTCGCATAGTGTAGCGTAGATTACCTGTCGTAAGTGACGCCTTTAGCCACAATTAGCACGTTGGGGGCGTCGGGGCTAGTTTTGAGGGAGCAGACTAGCATGGACGGCTCTTGGTGTTATGTAATGTACCGCAGCGTAGAGTAATGTAGCGTAGTACAATCTAGTGTGATGTAGGGTAGTGTAGTGTAGTTCAACTGAGGTAGGTGACACCTTTAGCCACTATAAGCACTTTGGGGGTTTCGCAGCTAGTCTTGAGCAGTGACAATGAGAAGTGTCGCGTAAGTGTAGTGTGATACATATAGTGTAGTATCTTGTCGCATAGTGTAGCGAAGATTACCTGTCGTAAGTGACGCCTTTAGCCACAATAAGCACGTTGGAGGCGTCGGGGCTAGTTTTGAGGGAGCAGACTAGCATGAACGGCTCTTGGTGTTATGTAATGTACCGCAGCGTAGTGTAATATAGCATAGTACAATCTAGTGTGATGTGGGGTAGTGTAGTGTAATTCAACTGAGGTAGTTGACACCTTTAGCTACTATTATCACTTTGGGGGTTTCGCAGCTAGTCTTGAGCAGTGACAATGAGAAGTGTCGCGTAAGTGTAGTGTGATACATATAGTGTAGTATCTTGTCGCATAGTGTAGCGTAGATTACCTGTCGTAAGTGACGCCTTTAGCCACAATAAGCACGTTGGGGGCGTCGGGGCTAGTTTTGAGGGAGCAGACTAGCATGAACGGCTCTTGGTGTTATGTAATGTACCGCAGCGTAGTGTAATGTAGCATAGTACAATCTAGTGTGATGTGGGGTAGTGTAGTGTAGTTCAACTGAAGTAGGTGACACCTTTAGCCACTATAAGCACTTTGGGGGTTTCGCAGCTAGTCTTGAGCAATGACAATGAGTAGTGTCGCGTAAGTGTAGTGTGATACATATAGTGTAGTATCTTGTCGCATAGTGTAGCGTAGATTACCTGTCGTAAGTGACGCCTTTAGCCACAATTAGCACGTTGGGGGCGTCGGGGCTAGTTTTGAGGGAGCAGACTAGCATGGACGGCTCTTGGTGTTATGTAATGTACCGCAGCGTAGTGTAATGTAGCATAGTACAATCCAGTGTGATGTGGGGTAGTGTAGTGGAGTTCAACTGAGGTAGGTGACACCTTTAGCTAGTATTATCACTTTGGGGGTTTCGCAGCTAGTCTTGAGCGATGACAATGAGTAGTGTCGCGTAAGTGTAGTGTGAGACATATAGTGTAGTATCTTGTCGCATAGTGTAGCGCAGATTACCTGTCGTAAGTGACGCCTTTAGCCACAATAAGCACGTTGGGGGCGTCGGGGCTAGTTTTGAGGGAGCAGACTAGCATGAACGGCTCTTGGTGTTATGTAATGTACCGCAGCGTAGTGTAATGTAGCATAGTACAATCCAGTGTGATGTGGGGTAGTGTAGTGGAGTTCAACTGAGGTAGGTGACACCTTTAGCCACTATAAGCACTTTGGGGGTTTCGCAGCTAGTCTTGAGCGATGACAATGAGTAGTGTCGCGTAAGTGTAGTGTGAGATATATAGTGTAGTATCTTGTCGCATAGTGTAGCACAGATTACCTGTCGTAAGTGACGCCTTTAGCCACAATAAGCACGTTGGGGGCGTCGGGGCTAGTTTTGAGGGAGCAGTCGAGCATGAGCGGCGCCTGGCAGGAGCCGCGCGCGACGGCCAGGAACGCCTCCATGCGCTGCGCCTCCATCCACGAGCGCTCGCGGGCTTCTACTGTTACGCCCAGCGGGCAAAGCACGTCCACTGCCTCCTGATGAGGCATTTGTTTATTTAATACATAGACCGTTTTAATTTACGTAACATTGACACGAATTTGGAATCGAATTCCGAAGAACTACATTTAAGGTTAAGTCCAAGGTTGCAAGGGTCAATTAGATAGATAAGTTGTGATTATTTTTTCGAAAAAGACTAAAATATTCCACGGGAAGAAATATCTTTAAATTTTCTCTAGATTTAAACGTGTAAGATGCTTAAAAATTACAAATACAACTAAAATATTTGTACAGAATCAGTTAATAAGTTCTCGCTATTTCTATTCAACTTCTACTTAGTTAAATTTTACTTATGGTGGAACTGAAAGTGAAAAACTCATAATCTAAGTTTTATCAAGTACTAATCAAACTCATGTTATATCAACGAACTAGCGGCCCGCCCTCGCTTCGCTTCGGTGTAGAGTTGAAGTGTAGACTACAGTTTTTGTTCTCAGGCTTGTATTATACACAATGACATTCATCTATGATTGTTCTTATACCTGCATGCAAAGTCTCAGCCCGATCGGTTTAAAATTGACAAAGTTCCATACAAACTTTCATTCCCTATTTTATCCCCTTGGGGATAGAATTGATCAAAATCCTTTCTTAGCGGATGCCTACGTCATAACATCTACCTGCATGCCTTCAGCTCTATCCTTCCAGTGGTTTATTGGGCTGTGCGTTGATAGATCACTATGTCAGTCAGTCGGTCACCTTTGAGTTTTATATGTATAGATAGATTGCTTATGTGTTTACCGAACTATAAACGATCCGTCGATCCGGATGAATCATCAGGTAGAGCTGGCGCAATAAAAAAGATGAGTTTGGAAGAGGTAGGTCATAGTGGATTTGTCATAGTCACCTGCGCGAGGTCGACGGGCGTCATATTGTTGGCAGGCATGTCGGCCATGTATCGCGCCCAGTTCTGCGCGTGCGCGCGCGCCGCTCCCTCCTGGAACTCCCGCTGTCGCCGCTCGTCACCCCCGCTACCCCCGCTACCCCCGCTACCCCCGCTACCCCCGCTACCCCCGCTACCCCCGCTACCCCCGCTACCCCCGCTACCCCCGTGCAGGGACACCTGCGTCTCCGCCGCGCGGTCCCCGCACGACTTGTACTCCTGAAACCTGCACGAACGACAGCGATAGGGAACTAACATCAATTCTGCCCCTCTAGCATGACCACCGAAACGGGATATGATAAAGCGATATATCGGCATTAACTGTCGGACTACAGTGGAGTTTGACAGTTGAGACTCGATAAAAAGCTTTATCATATCCCGTTTCGGTGGTCATGCTGGAGGGGCCGGGCGCCGCACAAACGAATCACTGCCCAGCCCCAACTTAGCTGTACGCAGCGAAGGGCTTTACGCGAGGTTTTAGGCTTCGCTTCGAGGCTCCTTAAATTTTAATACAGTTAGTAACAGTGCAAAACTAAAACGACCACTATAGCGTAGTAGCACAGCGTAGACTTTTCCAGTGGCACAACGCCTTAAAAGACTTGAGAAAGAAATACAACACGTAAGCGACGCGTTCCCAACGATAGTGTATGGTAGTTTGGATTAACTACCACACCCTCCTCCTCCCTTGCCTCGCGGACCCTTACGATTTATCTGTCTAGACTCTAGACGTGTCCGTTGGATGACTATAGGAAAGTATAGGGCCCGTGTGCGGTGTGATGTGTAAGGGCGATATGTAACCTCCAGGCGGCGAGGAGGGCGGCCTCCGCGGCGGCGTCGGCGTGCGCGGGCGAGTCCACCGCCACGCGCGCGCACCCGCGCCGCTGCAGCGCCCGCACTCCGGCACCCACGCCCCAGCGGATGTTCTCCTGGGATCACATGGACACACACATACAACATATGACAACATACAACTACTAGCTAGCAGAATTTGAATTTAAATTTTGTGAAGCAAGCATTTACCTGTTCATAAACGTCACCTCGTTGTTTTACTATGACTATGCGGGCGGTGTTTGCCTTGAGAGATTGTTGCAAAATAAATATATGTAGTTTTTATGTTAATTGAAAGAATGCGTTCATGACAAGTCTTAAAAAGATAAAATATCTACAAACTCGTTTTAGTATAAAAAAATAACTATACATGGACAGTATTCTGTCTACATAAAAAACTGGGTGTTTCCGAAACGAACTTTCGATAACGAAGTTCAAACGAAATTTAATTTCGTCAATTTAAGGTTAATTTGAACGATAAACTATCAAATTTAAAGCTTTCTTTGAATCATCATCATCAGCCTATAAATGTCCCCACTGCTGGGGCACAGGCCTTTCCTATGGATGGAATAGGGAGATTGGGTCATGACCCACCACGCGGGCCCAGTGCGGATTGGTGGGTGCTAACAACTGCAGTTGCAGCCGGGGCCGACGGCTTAACGTGCCTTCCGAAGCACGGAGGAGCTCAAGATAGTAAATTTTTGGTCATCCATCCAATGACCGACCACAGCGAAAGTTGCTTAACCTCAGCGATCGCAGCCGAATGCGCTATCCACTTGCGCCATCGAGCTCCTCCAGTAAAGTATTACACCTAGTTAATCTTGTAAACAGATTTAAATAATATGCAACGAAGGCTTGTAAAACTTGTAATGAAGTAATATGTATATAATTTGTTATGGGACCTTTATGGTTTACCCATGAAATCTATAAATGACCATAAAAACAAGGCACAAATTATTTCAGGTGGACTTTGTAGTATTGCGGTGGGCAAGACCAAGCATAGCCCGTGGTTCAGTTAAGATAGTCCGGTTAAGCATGACGCACTGTACACCTGCGGTACTGTACTGGTTGACTCACACAATTCTAAAGCTTACGTAATGAGAGCAAAGCAAAACATTGTCATAATAAAGGTTTTCGTTAAACTTCTCTGCTAAAAAGTACCAATTCAGAGTTTTTTTATAATACCTAATCTTTTGTAACGTTTTAGATACAGGCTAACTCAAGATGTTTTGAAATAACTTTCATTATCGAATATTGATTAACAAAATCAAGCACAGATCCTACTCAGATTATATGTTAAAGTTTGTATGTTTGTTAATAAATAACATAAAAGCGGCTGAACGGCGATTGGGATGCGTTTATTTTTATTTTATTATTATCTGCAATCAGTCTTTTCACAATGAGCAAACATGACAGGAATGGTCGGCCACCGCCACCACTTCTTTTAAAGAAAATGGGGTGGAGTGGGATTTTCTTAAACCAAATTGATGTGTGGGGATGAGGTCACAGTTATGCATGTGAAATATAAAGCGGATAAGGAAAATCTATTCCCACAGTTAAGAGAGTGTAGGCGTCAAGCTAATGGGTCTGTAGGATGTAGGTTTTCCTGGTTTGTGTATCATGATGACTTCAGAGATCTTTCATGTGGCTGGCAAACAAGATGTCCTAAAAATGGCGTTAAACAGACATGCCAGGAAGGTGATACTTTTTCTAGGGAGTTCTTTTAAGACCCGTGCTGAAATGAGGTCGAAAGCAGGGGCCATCGTTAGGCTTAAAAGTTGTGGGAAGATGGGTAGCGAAAACTTTAACTATCTCTGCATTATGTTTTTGCCCAAGAAGAAGAAGAAGATCTAATAGGCGAAGTGCATTGCTTTGGTTTGCCAACAATCCTCGTGTTCTTATATAGAGAATATTCGCATTTACCATGTGGTGACATACTTTCCAATTTTGTTTGATATTGGCATTCCTAGTTGTCTCTAGAACTAACTTTAGGTCTGTTACAGCGCGGTTAAACACCTTTTTATCGACCACTCTTTTAGTTTGGTGCCAGTAACTAGCCAGCAGACAAAATTAGACTGCCATAACTCCTCGACTTCTTCGTTACTAAAATCATAAGTCAGTTATATAACTACCTGCGTGGAATCTAGCTTAGATGATCCATACCCCGGTAATATTAACAGTGAGCTCATCTGTGTCTGAAAAAGAGTCTTAAACTTTGACCAATCATAAGACCGATTGGGAATGCTTTCGTTCAAATATAGATACCAATCTTAACTCTAGGATGCCTTTTAAATCCCAAGAAGATGTGGATGCTGCTTGTGTGCATGTTATAAATGTGATTGAGACTGCTGCTTGGAAAAGTGCCCCGTACGTTGAGCAGGCTGGGTATTGCAGTGGATATTGGCAGTGCCGTCTTTGACCTATTGGAGGCCCTTGGCATATTAGGATAATGGGGCCCCTAGGACCCCCGCTTGGTGATCTAACAAGAACTAGGGACTTTGTATTTGTGATCTGAGGTGCCCACCCACCTATCGATCACGGGGCCCTGGGCACTTGCCCACAGTGCCCACTGGGAAAGACGGGTCTGGATATTGGCATTAGGTGAAGAGTATGTAGGCTGTTTCAGCTCACGTCCTCTCAGTAGAGTGATGCGAGATCCCCAGAACGTGTGCTTAGCATTCCAATCACAGCCTGCAATAAATGTGTTGGAAAGGAATTTCGAAATATGCCTGGTACATTTCTTGTGCAATCTTATGCTTCACACAGTCCCAGCATATAGATCCCGTTTGGTCCTCTACACGTACAGAAGGTAGCCTGAATGGAGTTTGTTGAGTATCCCTCCAATGGAAAGTGTTTAATGTTCGATCGAATGACTAGGGCCGTTCCAGCATGAGTTCGGCCATCGGGGTGCGGCGCATAATATATTTTGTAGCCTTTCATCTGGAAGTTACTTTTATTATCTGCATGAGATTCCGATATAAAGGCACATCAAGTTGATGAATGGGCATCATGTTTTCCAGTTCGTAAATGTTCGGATACAGCCCATTGATGTTCCAGGTTGCAATGCGAATATTTAGGAATTCGATTGATGCATAGAGATGAAAGTTGTCAATAGGTGCATTAATGTTCCTATTTGTTGAATGAGTATATCAAGTTTTGCCTTGCTTGATCAAGATTTGCTCTATTGCAGGGTACTGCTGCTTACTCTCACTATCATTAGTTGGGTTTTTGACTGATTTGCCTTTTGTTACTTCAGCGTAAGTCCTCCTAGCATTCGTATATTTATGGGTGTTTATTGTGGTCTTATTTTCCTCGAAGCTTTTAACTTTATTAAACGTTGTCTTTCTATTTGGTTCTTGATGAAATTTGGTACACATATAGTTGATGATCTGGAATGAGACATAGTATACGTTTTATCCTGAAAAATATGTTAGGTTTGAGGAATTCTCCAAAAACTAAAAGTTAACGCGGACAAAGTCGCGGGCGGTCGCTAGTTGTTGTATGTATTGGTCAACATAAACGCAGCAGCTCACCCTGGCCCGATCCAGCTGCTCCAGCTTGCAGAACCCCGCGTCCCTGGGCCCGAACGAAGCGATCGCCACGCCGCCGGAGTACTCCTTCAACAGATCCGTTACCACGAAGGCTTTGCCCAACTTCAGTTCACATGACAGCCTATAAACAGATTCTTTTATCTACCTGATCGTATAATAGTAGCTAGCTTTAGTTGGAGTAAGTACCTTCAAATGTCTACCAATGCAATGTTGAAGTTAGTCGAAAACTGCTAAGATCTGATGGGCAACCTGTCACTATTGGAATGAGGCTTGGCCAATTAATAACAATTTATAATAAAATATAATAATAATCTTTTTATTTTCCCAAAAAATGTACAATATTTTATAAATTGAATTTTCCATCTTACTGATTTTTAGTGCGAATTAGAAAATAAAATGATAGCTACTGTAGTAGACATACCAGATGTACGACGTTAAGGGTACAGTACATACGTTTGACGACCTCTGTGGCCGAGTGGTTTGTACGCCTGGTTTCATAGTGTCGCCGACTCGAGAAGTCGATGGTTCAAATCTCGGTGGGGGCAGATGTTTGTGTGATGAATTAAAAAAGCATTTGTACTCATAGATGTTTAATATGTATTTCTATATAAATATACTTATATGTGCAGTATATGTATTCTATCCGTTACCCTAGTATCCCATAACACAAGCCTTACAGTGCTTACTTTGCGGCTACACTAATTGGTATGAGTGTTAAAAAAATGTACATGCGTCCAGAAATGACTAGTATCTAGGATTAGTAGAATCAACTTACTCGTTCAAATGTCGGCAGAGCTTCCCGCCGCTCTTCTGGTCTATCTCAGCGGCGGTCGGGGTCAGCTCGAACTTCTGACCCGCCTCGTACACGCCGAGCACCAAACCGCTCTATAAAACAGTAGCTAGGTTTTGACAGATGACTGATTTCCATTAGCTTGACAAACTACTTTTGATGACGTGCAAACAGCAAAGATCCTCCCTGTTGTTCGAGAAGCATCTAAGAAAGAATTTTAGTGTCCCCTCCCCCGTTGTGATATTTCGTGATTTTTTATGAACCTCTGCCCCCGCCCTTTCGAGCCTCACGTGATTAATGGACAGAATAAATATCACAAATAACAAAATTACTTTTTTTTAACTTTTTTTAATCACATGATTTGAAGAAAATAGGAGTTAATAATCAATGCGTCCTCCATCTCATTACCAAGAAGAACAGAAAGTAGAAGTAAGTACTTATTTGGAGAACTAAACCCTTCAGAGGTAAAACGGGACCGACCGGAACCAATAATTATTATCTGCCCTGAGGCATAGGCCGCCCCTATAGATGTAATATTGAGATTGAGCCATTAACCACAACACGGGCGGGCCCAGGGCGAATTGGTGGGTGCAGATGTCTGCAGGTGTTGTCTTTCGAAGCACCGGGAATTTCGAAATAATACGTTTTAGTTACCCTTCGTATGACTAGCATTTGCCAAAGTTGCTAATAACTTCACGATCGCGACTGAATGCGCTATAAACATGAATCTTGCGCCATAGACTATGTAGTGGTAGGACTATGTAGACTGGTTTTGAAAGTGCCGCCTACTCTTAGGTCCTGGGCTCGTATTATGAATACTAGTATAATGTACTTACTTGACCCATGATTGTTTCCACAAAAAATATCCTTACCATGTAGGTATTACTATTATCTGTCTATCCATTGATTACCCTAATAATTAGTTTGAGTCTAGACTAGTTAGTGTGAGTGTATGTACCCAGACTCGTCTTTCCCAGTGGGCACTTTGGGAAGTGCTCAGGGCACTTTGGGCAAGCAATCAATAGGGGCCTCCCTCAGATCAAATACAAAGTCCCTAGTTCGTAGGGGGCCCATGATCCTTATATGCCCAGTACCCTTAGTAAGAGTTTTACAATTACGAAAACTATGATAGTTTTCGTGAGCTCGCACTCGTACTAAGGGTACTGATTTTATTGTTTTCGTTTCAATACAAATAAACAGTGTTTAAATCCTATCATAAAATCATTTGCGTCATCTTAAATTTTAAGTATATTTGTTTATTTTAAACCAAAATGGACATAGAAACTAATTTACAATTACGAAAACTATGATAGTTTTCGTGAGCTCAAACTCGTACTAAGGGTACAGGGCCTCCAATAGGTCAAAGACGGCACTGTATGTACCTACATATTCCTTCTACTTTACCTTATTGCCATCCCCACTGGAAGCCTGCTCTCCAGGTTTCTCTTCCTTGCCAGGACAATCACTTTTAGGTGGTGTTCCACTACTATAATTTTTTTTTGTTATTGTTTGATTCAATACTCCTCTATGGATGTATCTTGCATTGGGAAAAACCGTTTTTAAAACCATAATAAAATAAAATATTTAAAAAATAAGTATTCAAAATTGTTGAATGTTGTGATTAAAATAAAGCCATCTAGACATGAGTACTAATAGTCATGAGTTATTTAAAAATAGAAAGTGGGTAGGTACTAGGTACATAATTTAATAAGAACTTTTTGATTTAGTATTACTGCTACATGCTTTACATTATTAGCAAAATAATAATAGAAACAAGTTTGCCATTATTCATCTTTTATTACCAATATTAAGTTTAAATACTGAAGTCTTAGGAACATGTCTTATAGTCAATGATATTCGGGTACCCCTTGACATAGAGGAACCTTGAATATATTTCTCAGAACACATGCCTAAATTGGCTATAGATTCATCCAATAAATCCTCTGTAACTTCTTCTATACAATGTAAATAGTAATTAAATAATTCGTTTTGTAGAATTAACAAGCTTCTAGGTTCTAACAACAGTGAAAATGCATGATTTGTTGATTTCTTGTCATCTTCTGTGCTCGGTTCCAAAAACTTTAATACAATATGAGACCCTAAAGATATCGTAGTGATAGTTGGATAAAATAAGGATCCGTCCAGATGGGGCATTATTCCTTGTCCGGGCAAATATTCATTCACCAGAATGTGGTTTGGTTTATTCCGCCCCATAACACTAAGACGGTGAATTTTCTCCAGGTATGTGTCCAACCATGGTGGTATTGTTTCTGCTATCATTCCCTTAACATGTGGTATTCCGCCCCAGTTCTGTAGCCGCCTGTTGGACAGCTGAGTCCACTTTGGTTTTGGTGCGGAGTAAATATTTGCCATTAAATTCTTCTCCTCACTGATGGACACGAATTCGGATATGTAATATGCAGTGGGTTGTACCTACAACGTTATAATTTAAATGATTAAGACATGCCATGAATCTTATTAGATTTTATCTATTAGGTCTAACAGGTGGGTCTTATTTACTAGGTTGATAGTACCAATGCTCTAAGAATGATACTTACGTGAGATACTCTATATTTATCACAGTTTTTGACTAAGTCTGGCTCCATTATTATGGATATGATTTAAAGAGTAGAATACTTAAATGTATGTATTTAATTTACAATCAAAACAAATCTTAAATATTCATAATTTGACAAATAATATAACTACAATGCTGCTATAGTGTACACCTCTATTTTAATAGTGTTAAATAAACCTGCAATGGACATTGCATGATTGTCAATGTCATAATTGTAGGAGACGTCAGTGAAGCACAAATTGATTTAGACAGCGCTTTTATTGCTTGGTGATAGAAGTGATATTTGTACTATCATCTGTTCAAGGTAAATAAAACTGAAGAACAGATTATTACAGTTTGCGTTTCGATATATGACACGATAAAATCATTGAAACGGATGTCAATCTGTCCAAAATAATATTTTTCATGGGCACTTTAATTAATTCTTATGTTAATACATTAGTTTATAAATAGTTTAAAACTGTCAAAAACAAAAAAAATATCTAGATATAAAAACATTTGAGAAAATGGAAGTTTTGTCTTGATCAACTATACAAAAGTCGAAGAGAGGACCTAAATCCTCTACACACTATCCATCGTGATGGATCCAACATGGGGGACTGCCCTATACAATTCACGTCAAAGAGAACTCTTATCTCAACTCTTTTACGTGTATAGCGCTGTCCTGCTCCTGCATGCTGGATCCAGCACAGCAATATGAATAGTGCGTAGAGGACTTTAGAAGAGCAAAAATGATCAGTTGCTAGTTGATACTTATTACTAGATACGGATTTACTGTGCTAAAATAAAATAGAATCATTAAATAATTACAAATATTAGTCAGTATTTTATCATACATTTCCTTTATTGACGTGACAACGTCTTAAATTAGGTTGCGGCTGGGAGTCACTTATGAAAAAGTGTAACGCTCGGTAACGTTACGATGAGTTTAAGTTTACATGTACAATGTTTTAGTAAACAAAATATATTTCTATAGTTAAAATTTGTGCAATTCTTATTTTCATTCAATTCCTTGTTCCTATTGTGCAATTTAATTATATTCATATCAATAAATATTCTACCGAGAAAAAGACGTTGTCACGTAAAATCTTCGCCCGTAAAACCGACTTTACAGGCAACCATTTTTATAAAAATATTTCATGTTTGGTTTGAGGTACTGTAACGAAACGCATACACAGCTAATCTTTTTTGACAGGAGTGCATCGGAGATAAAAAAATGTTATTTTGTTAAATATTTTTTGTAAATATTTGTTCAATGAGCTGTTGTAGAATGTGATCACAATGGGTGGCTGCATCGGAATCACTAGAAGCAGAAGTGGACCAATCGAAGAATCTTCGGGTACCGTGTCGCGTCCCAATTCCGGTACGTGGGGCTATTTTGTCGCCGTGGATACAAGTGGCGACTTGTGATCTCAGTGTTCAAACACAGCGGATACAACGTGCTTAAATTATGTTTCAGGTGGGTTGAGGAAGAACCAGTCGCTTTGCCACGAGACGATAAGGTGGAAATCTGACGTGCCACTGACGGAAGGTCAACTGAGGAGCAAGAGAGATGAGTTTTGGGACACAGCTCCCGCGTTCGAGGGTCGGAAGGAGATCTGGGACGCGCTGCGGGCGGCGGCGGTCGCGGCCGAGGCGATGGACTTTCAGCTAGCTCAAGCCATTCTGGATGGGGCCAGTGTCTCTGTCCCTAATGGCTATTTGACTGAATGCTATGATGAATGGGGAACAAGATATCAGGTATATTATAAATTCAATTTGTCTTTTAAAGCAAAAGTTTTGGTAAGTAGGATTTTACATTTCATTCAGTTATATCTTTAATAATCATACATTTTTAAAAGTGTGGTATGTATTAACTTGTAGTTAGTAAAAATAATTAAAATCATTTTACAAATTGGTTCTACTATCTTCATAATATAATTAGAGTCCTAAAAGTCCCTGCTCACTAAAGTTAATATTAAAATCAGTTAAAGTTTATAAGTTATTTAGTATTACATAGTCATTCCCTGATTTATATGCCTACTTATAAATTCCTCACACAACTTCATGTTACTCTAATTATAAATGTAGCTTTAGAGTCATCATCAGCGAAAACTTAGGGGTACTTACCCTATGTTTTTATTTGATAATTTCGATAATAATTGTAATGTTTTAATTTTTAATTATTGAATAAATTATTCATGATTAATACTTCGAATACAAAGAATCTCTTGAGTTCGTATTTTTGAAGAAATAAAAAAAAAACAAAATCCGCGCGGTGGAACGGTTGTTCGAAATTCAAATCAAGTCTAAATAACAAAAATGCTTATAAAATTAAAATTACTAGACTGTATAATTTTTTTATAGGACTATATGGCAACCAAATTTAGAACCTCCTCCATTTTAAAGTCAGTTAAAAATATCTAAGCATAGAGATAGTTGGAACGACTTTGTTTCATACTATATAGGGGCTATCCATAAAGTACGTAACATGTTAAGGGGGTCGACAAAGTGTGAGAATGCCCAAAATTTCGTGTCGTCGTCACATTTTAAAATTCAATACTTTTGAACTATTATCAAAAAACTTTAAAATATTTAGAACCCTGTTTTGTTGAACTGCTTTTTTTTTTAAATGCATAATAGAAAAACATGTGGGGAGGGACTCACAAATGTGACCAGTGACAAGGATGGGAAGGAAGGGGGAGGGTTAAAAAAATGCCTTGAAAGGAGGAGAGAAGATATTAGTTTAAAGTCCCGTAGATTTGCGAATCGATGGCGTAGCTTTTGCGTAGTGCTTGTAACAGCTACAATCAACAAACTGAATAAACGATATTAAAGTTGAAAAAAATGTGACATATCTGTGATCGGCTTCAAGGTGCCCATCTACTGTCTGTCTCCGCCTATAAACATGGTGAAGGAGGCCAGCGGGCGGGACTCGCCGGCCGAGTGGTCGGAGCCCGTGGAAGGCGGCGCTGAGATGAACCTGAGACTGAGGCTGTCGAGCACGTGCCGCGACGTCGAGCTGGCGGTATACTCGCGCCACACGATCGCCCAGTGCAAGAACAAGCTACATGTGAGTACACTCTTAGGCTGCATTTTCTAGCGCCTGCTGCTATATTGTCGATTTTTCAACCGACGTGGTATAAGTGAGAGTCAGAATAAGGTACCACAATTTAGTTTCTTGAATGGTGTAATTATATTTTATTTTTATTTGTTTCTTAGGTTTTCACGCACATCACTCATTAAATAAAACTAGTTTTTACGGGTTAACGTACGAAACTTTACTTATTTATTGACGTTTCGCAGCCTTTTCAGGTCTGCATCGTCAGAATAATGATTTTTTATTTAAAATTGTCGAGCTACCTTCGAAAGGCTTATATTGAGCGTTCGGTTATTTCATTGGAAGATTTTTAAAATTTTATTGTCTATGTATGAATTTATTATTTTATTTTTATCTTGTAGAGTTTACTTTTATATTACCTACGCAGTTGTTGCGACTTGTAAGTCCTGCTATAGTAACTCTAAATTTTAAAATTATGCAACTTCTTTTACTGACCTAAATTATTAAATATAGGATTTTACTCTGGCAATTGCCTTACCATATTTTGGTGATTCGTCATCCATCCTACTCTAACTTAAGTAGTTTTTAACCTATAGAGTAGGACACGACGCGACGAAGTTTGTGACAGGTATATTGGCAGTTATTTTTATGAGTAGTTTTATCTGTATTCCGCAGGCCTATTATGTAAGCTATGGCACCTTGCGATCATAACTCGAATAAGCTGATTCATTTCTTTGTATAAAAAACGCCATCAACAATAGCATGTTTATCATGGTTCAAAACAGTAGTGGAGTGTGTTTATGTGACTGTGGTGTACTTCCACCTTTTGAATAATCTTTTGCGATATTTTGAGTGATAGAAATTTAAATCAGTCGGAAGTAAGACGCCGTATAAAGGCCTGTCGGACTCCGGTCAAATCTCGATGGACTCATCACATAACACTTTTTTATTTGCTTATCAATTTTAACAGTTTTACATTATTTAAATTTTGCCAAACTGAACTTCGTTACAAAACAATATACCTATATGTATACTTACCTACTTATAATTTAGTTGGAACTTTGACGACGTTGACGACCTCCGTGGCCGAGTGGTTTGTACGCCGGGTTTCATGGCTGTCGCCGATCCGAGAGGTTATTCGGGTCCGAAACCCGGTGGGGACAGATGTTTGTGTGATGAATACGAGCATTCGTACTCAATACGTACTTAATATGTATTTATATAAATATACTTATATATGTACAGTATATGTATTCTATCCGTTACCCTAGCATCCCATAACACAAGCCTTATAGTGCTCACTTTGGGACTAGGCTAATTGGTGTGAAAAAAAAAACTTAATTTAGTATGGTCCTAAAACGTTGTAAAACTCCGCCACCAGGCTCAGGAGAACATCGAGCCGTGGCGGCAGCGTTGGTTCTACGGCGGGAAGCTCCTCGGGGACCGGCTGCTGGTGGAGGAGGCCCGCGTCACGCCCGGATACGTGGTGCAGGTCATCGTCAGCTCCGACCCGCACCCGCCCAGCTAGTGTCCGCAGGTAACCGATACACTGATACACCCTCTGCCGTCTACACTACGCATACAGAGTACACTGTCACCGCTGACACATCAAACTCGTCTCGGACTCAGCGATCAACCTTCTTGGCGACTGAAGTTACCGTAAACTCTTCAGAATATTGTAACAACTGAAGACTCGAGAGTGCGCTGTGACCGCTGACACATCGAACTCGTCTCTGACTCAGCGCTCAACCTTTTTGTCAACCGAAGTCACCTCTGACACATCGGAATATGTAAAAACTGGAGGGGGTTCGACTCTCAACGTTTTTGGTCACCGCAGGTTCCGCAAATAGCTCGGAAGCTATTAAATTACTCTGCACTCAACTTTTTAAAGAGATGATATCGGAAGCTATTCGCTGACGTTATAAAAAGAGAAGATTTTGATGAAATTGGTTTTGAAACAAGGTTATAAATCTTTTAGCAGCTCATATGATTTTCGATTACCTATGTTACCTCGGAGATACTATATATATATATCTGAACAAATAGTTTTACTTTGCGTAACCAAATTGCGTAGGGTTCTGTACCTCGAGCACGAACTTTGACAGATCCGTAATCGTATCGCCTATCGAATTTTCTATGGAACGAGCCAGTTTGTTGTTACGTCCGCTGCTTAGTTTTCATAGAAGCTTTGACGATGCGATACGATTACGGATTTGACAAAGTTCGTGATCGAGGCACTAATAACAGATATACTTAGGTTACCTTAAATAGAATATGATTTACAGTCTGTAAATTCATTTTACACCATATTTGTCGATGCAAGTAATTTCTAATATTAAGCTCTCGTAATTATATGCTATTGCAAAACATTGGATGAAAAGAGACCATGTTTGTTTTCACTTCTTATAACCTACATCAACTCTGTGTCGACCAATGTAGATTTGAATTCTACGATGTGATTGATGACAGATGGTAGCTTGTTAAAATGTTGTTAGTGTAATCATAGTTACTCTTTATGGTAACCAATCAGCATTGTTCCGAGGTGCGGAAAGGTTAATGGATTCAATGCTTGTCTAACATTGAATGCAAACTCATGTAAGCACTCCTGATGTGTCAACTAAATCGTTTGAATCACGTGTTGTGTGATAAAGGGTAAGCATTTGGAGTGATTGCTTTGGCTAAATGTTACCTATCACATTTTTCTGTGGCTTTAGATGTTGTTTACTGCTTTTGTTGATAAGAAATTATTTATTATTTTATATTATTTATGTTGTATTGAATCAAAATGTGGCTTTAATGACATAATTTGTGCATAAAACAAATCTAAATGTCTGTATTCAGCTGAAATCACAAGTTTTTATTTTATTAATACAACTCAACGAAGTTATATGAACCTGTTCATAAACATGCATCAAAATGCTTACCCTTGTAGTTTTTAGCAAACTATGAATCAAAACACTAAATGTAATGCCTAAAACCAATATTCATGGATTGATATAAATATTGGTAGTGAATATGTATGTTCAGACAACCGCAGGCAAGTTACCCAAAACTGAAATTTCTTTAACTGAATTTAAGCTTTTTGCTGCTTCGGATAAGATTCTCAATGTATTGAGAATATTTTACAGTTCGTGGTAGCTTGATGTGCGGCTGTCTGTGCCGACAATGTTAAATAAACATTATGTTATATTTAGGAATATTTTTAACAATAACAAATACTTTTGATATTAGAAAAAAAAACATATTATATTTATATGATGTATATAGAATGGTGCACCATACATACATACAGTCGTTGGTTGTTATTTTTAGTTTTGGAACTATTGATTATTTGATTTATATTTGTAAACCACAATGGGTTTTTATTTTGTCGTATACTTTGTGATGTATATTGTTCCGGTGAATACCAATAACGGATCGTTTTGCATAATTTCGGTCACAACTACCTGAAAGTATTGTATGAAAGAAATAATTATAAGTATGTAGTAAAACTAAATATTTAAAATTTATAAAAAGTTGCCCCAAAACTATGTAATGTATATTGCTACAATGACTGCATAATATATAAGATTTTGCAACGGCATTGAAATATGACAGATACGTAAACAGATGTTTAATTAATATACTAACCGATGATGGTTTATCTCTAGATAGGTGTACAGGCATACGGAAATATAGATATATATATATATTATATTGTTTGCTAACTGCAGCTGTGAAAACTACGATTTAAGTTTACGGAATTTGTATTGAAATTATCATGTTGCATGCTGCCCTCCAATCAGGCACGACCAAGCCGACACGATAATGATAGTCCGATTTGTCGATACTCAACTGACAAAATCAATTGCATTTTTACAGCCAAATGTCAATAAATGGTTGCATTTAACATATTGCGACCGTCATACTATACAAGCTGGAGTGTTACAGAAGATCACTTCTGTAAAGAATCGGATTGAAAATTTGAAAGGTGTGAAAGATAGGCTTAAAAAAGGGATCACAGATTTAGTAGATATATTTAAAAATAGTCTCTTGTTCCGTGCTTATTTTGGTAGTATGAATATAACTCTTTAATAATTATAACAAAACAACATTATTGGTAAAGTTAGTTAAGTTGTATGAGTGGCCATATTGGACGTGTGTATGTGTTCGATATTATGCTTGTGTTGGTTCGCAATCATATCCACAATAAACGCACTATTTATTGTAACTTTTGTTCAAACTATATAATTCGGAAACATTGTGTTTGTTCGCGTTTATTAGAGAATTTCGTGGGAGCTGCTCGTAGAATTATTATAGAAACACATCTATTCGAAACTGATAAACTCGCGATCATTACATTCCACATGTGATGGATGTAGTCCTTGCAAACACTCCTTTAATAATAAATTGCATTATCAATTAAATATCTCAAAAAAAAATGTCGCGTCTCTCTGGTCTTTTTTAGGGGCCACAGAAAATAAAATATTTAAATTTAAAATATACTAAATGAAATTTTAGTTTCCTTAAAATCAGCACTGCCACGAATTTTGTGTTCGCCCTAATAAATGATATATAAATTATTTGAGTCATAAAAATGAATGGGTTTTTATGTAGGTTATATAGAATTTTCTTATAATAAATTATGTATTTGAATTGCGTCCAGCAATTAGTTCGCTTACGATTTCTGACATGACAACAACCATGCTTAACGAGTTATTTATTTAACATATTAAAAACCTTATCTAGCGCTTATAATTATGAGAGGGTTTCATTCAAAATTCTTTGAGTTTATTGTTTGCTAAGTTTTTTTTTGTATTGTTTTTTTATCTCTTTTTTTCATTTGGTAGTTTCGGTGATTATAGTTTATGATCGAATTTACAGAAAGCATCAAGAAAATTCGGAATGATCACAATTGCGTATTAACAAGTTTACTTTTAACTTAAAAGCGAAAGATGGTATAATCTGTAATTGTTGTTGACGTTATCACCTTGCATACCGCGCGGCCATACCAGGGGGCCATTCGCCTAACGGAAATGCTTTGGAAAACGCTAACGCTTTCGATTTTATATTGTTATTTCTGACCGCCGAAGGTTTTCAAATACCTCACGCTTATTTTTTTTAATATTGTTATTACCAATGCAAAAGAAGAAAAAAGAGCGCGAGGCATTTGAAAGCCTCAGGCGGCTAGAAATAACAAAATGAAATCGTAAGCGTTAGCGTTTTCCAAAGCATTTCCTTTAGGCCCTCAGTTTTCGTGAGATTATTAGATACAGAGGCTAAGTGTTGTGTATAAAATATATAGTCTGATGCCGCCTCTCGATAGCTAAGTGAATAATTTAGATACAATGCTTAAAATATCTAAACGTGGTTAAATAAATAATATATTAATTATAGGCGCGGCACTCGACACGTCATCGTTGTGTAAGTCAGTATCATGCTGTCGTTTTCTTTGTCATATCAATAGACTGAAACTACAAGAGCGTTTTATTCAATTGGCGGTAATGAATGCGGTCGTTATTATATATTTAAAAACCAGATTTAAAATGAATACTAATCAATGGAAATTCTATGTAACGATTTACAATGAATTTGAAATTATTATTCCACATGACAGTGGATTGTAATTAATTTCACAAGAGGCAGTGACAGCAGGCTGCATGTTGGTATAATATATTCGGAAGAGAGTTATTTGTAAATTGTATTTTTATCATTAGAGCGTAAGTTGGAATAAGGTATTACTTGTAACATATTGATTTCGCCCTCATGATCACAATGATGGTTTTAATCATCTAGAACGGCTTATCCTCATTAAAAACAAATAAAATACCGTATCTCTCTTTTTCTATCTACAATAAAAAACAGGGAAATGTAACTTATGTCTAGCATTTTTTTTTATTTGTGTAGTGATAAAAAAACCTAGCCTTATAATTAAATCAACATTGCAAAGATTTATATTTAAAAATGTCAAATTAAGAATTTCCAATACATTTTATTATATAAAACTAGTTTTTCACGGGTTAATGTGCGAAACTATTTATTTATTGAATTTATATTTAAATTATTTTGTTTTATTTAAACGTCACTAAATAAATAAAGTTTCGTGCACCACGTGTCACGTGTGCGTGAAAACCTGAGAAACAAGTGCATTTTATTATCTGAATATAAATTTCCCTATTTTTTTATCTTTTAACATTTCACATGCGTTTAGATATTTACATGGATAAAATGTTGCCATATTTAATGTAACAACACACTAAATGGAAGTTGTTAATAAATTCAAAGTGTTGTGTTTGACTTACACATGCATATTAGTTATGTGATTTCGGAAATTGGTTCACTGTAGAGATTTATAGAATATAGATGTCTCGGAAAAGGATGTCATGTAAGTTTGCGAGCACCTCGCCTGCCAGGAGCACAGCGTTATGGCTAATTATTTAAAAGTATCTCATCCAACTGTCATACTCCATAGTAATTTGATATTTATATTAGATGACCTCCGTGGCAGAGTGGTTTGTACGCCGGGTTTCAAGGTGTCGCCGACTCGAGAGGTCCGGGTTTCGAATCCCGGTGGGGGCAGATGTTTGTTTGATGAATACGAGCATTTGTACTTCAGTCATGGATGTTAAATATGTTTTTCTATATAAATATACTTATTTATTTATTTATTTATTTATTTAAACTTTATTGCCACAATTACAAAAATGGACAAAAGGCGGACTTAACGCTAAAAGCATTCTCTGCCAGTCAACCTTATAATGTATCGGTATATGTATTCTATCCGTTACTCTAGTATCCTATGACACACATTAGCCTAGCCCCAAAGTAAGCACTGTAGGCTAGGCTAATGAGGGCTGCCGCGTATGAATCC